TGTTTATTGAGTAACTTTGATATTGCAGACACCACTTCTAGTGGTGAAACAGATTATTGTAGGGATACAGTAAGTTGGCACGACCTGTCATAGATTATGAACAAACACGCCTTTTTTAGTTTCTGCCTTGAACTAATTTTCTTTTTTGCTATCTGAAACAGAAAATGAAACTCAAATCATTTTAAAAATTTCGTTCATCCCTTTTTGACACCAAGAACGAGAAACGCTTTATATTTTAATTTTAATTTCAGTATTTTAAAACAAAAATCAAATATCCAATCTATTCTTGTTTTTTAATACCCGTTTCGTAAATGAAAATCCAATGACCAAAAGATACACTGACCGTTGTGCAACATATAGAACATTATTCATCGGACTATGGCTTTTGTTTTATTTATTGCACAACCATAAGTAAAACCCAGGATTTTTACTTGGTTGTTTTGTTTTTTCTAACTGGACTGAAAACCGAGTGAACTGATCCTGATATATCTGATTAGCAGCTGTGGTGTTTGTTTGTTTTTGCAGGGAGCTCTGGTGAAGGTAACAGATAACAACTTTAAAAGCACATTTTCTACAGTACAAAAGAAGTGGTATTAAAGTACTAAGGTTCCATACCTGAGCAGCTCCGAGCTTTGGCCTTTGTGGCACTGGAGGATTTAGAGAGTGGTCTTAACTTCATCAGTGGATGTTTGGTTCTCAAAGCTTCACGGGCTGAAAAAGAATTACATACCAGTTAAAAGATACTCATCTATCATCTAATATGTTTATTACTAAAACAGGACGGTTTCTTTTGTTATTATAATGCACCGTTTCATTTTATTTACGACACACCATATTGCAGACATGAAAGATTCTAAATTAAATTTTAGATATCCATAATTAATTTGGCTACAATCTCTGGTGCTGCCAGAGCAGTTGCTGCGTGTCGCCGTTTGTCCCAGAAGAGTTACATCAGTGTCTTGTAGTAGAAACACATTGAAGTAAACAATATATTGTTGATCTTTTATTCACGGACGCCTGAAGTGCAGATGTCTGTAACTAATACGTAAAAGTTATTACATGAGTTATATCCTATTCCAGGGCTTCTCAACTAAATTGCTCAGGCACGGTTACTCAAAACTAACAGCCCAGAGGGACATCCGGAGGTGGGGGTGTGGGGGATAAAAAAAAAGGTATGAAAAAAAATTGGATTAAGTAAATAACAAGTTATAATCGTTTACCTTTTAATTGTGTTAATTTTCCTGCATTGAACCATAAATGTAAACTTTACAATTGATTTAAAGGCACAGTGTGTAGGATTTGTTGTTTTGAGTGACATCTAGTGGTTGAGTGGTTGAATCATCCTCCCTGGTCCCCCCCCCCCCCCCCCCCCCCGCTTCCAAACACAAAGGAGTTGCTACGGCAGGGGCGTCCAACCAGTCGCTCGCCAGCTGATTCCCAGGTGCCCGCGCAGCGCAACCTTGCTACGGAGCCTCTAGCACCGGCTTTGAGCATTGCAGCTGGTCTTGTTTGAAAGCTCTGGTTCTGCCCTACAAGGTGAAAGTTAAATGAAGTCCCTGCGACGTTCCCCCGCGGAGCAATAAGCAAAAAACCTCCAAAATACGCACCGGCGCACAACTTAGTGCATTTTACGTGTATTTTTGGGAGGACATTTCAACCTTCGTTTGCTTCTCCTGCGGGCTCTGAGCATCGGATCCGGGAAAGTGGAATGACTTTGGAAAGCTACGGTCCTCCTCTACAAATTGGAGGTGGTTGCAGGTTCATGGGATGTTCCCCTGCGGAGCTATTAACCAACGACGGGCCGAAAAAGGCCCATTTGGCGTGCGATATAGTACTCAATTTACTCCGGAGCCTCTAGCGTTGGATCCGGGCGGGAGATGGCTCATTTTAATATTCTGAATCTCCGCTACAACCTGGAGGTGGTTGCAAGTTCCTGGGACATTCCTACGCTGAGATATGAGCAATCAAAAGTCATCAGGCGAGCTCCGGCGGGTGAAACGGCTGATTTCCAGCACGGAGCTGCTTATGCTGATGCAGGGGAATAAAAGGAAGAGATCCAGTGAGGTGGAACCGTGGTCCTACACCCAGCACCCGCTCTCCAGCCTGGATTCAGCCAGAAACCCCTGGTGGGCGATATTTCTGCAAAAATGCATAAAATTCAGAAACCCACCTGATGGATCACTTCCAGGCAATAAAAGGGACAGATCTGGTCAGGTGAAACCGGTCCTGGAAGCTCAGCACCGGGTTTTATAGCTGCCTGCGAGAGAGTTTCATATTGTGTGCTTTGATTTTGAAAAAAAAAAGGCAGTACTCTTGTGGTAGCCATGTTGACCCTGATAGATTTTTTTGTTTTGTTTTTCCTCCCCTGTATGGAGAGAAGAGAGGAGAGTTCTTTGAATAAATGGAGACAAGTTCCTGTGCTCCAAAGTTATTTGACTCTGTGGTTATC